CATACCTCAAACAGCTCTCAAAGACCCAGGCAGGCCTTAGGTGTTGAGTCTTTCCCTATAGTTTTATTCTAGACTAGCCCAACACCGGGTCAGTCTTCAGGACTCAAGATCCAGTCCTATAATCCCATCAAGTCCAAGCCTGGCAGACCAAGGTTCTAGGCCAGAACTCCCAGAACAAGATGTTAGATCTACTCATCTGCTGATCCAGGAACCAGGCCAGACCATGTGAGGCTTGAGCAGCAAGCCAGCATGCAGAACCTGAGACCCCCTAAAGGGCTAACCAGTAAAGACATTTTTTTAAGAAGCTAATCTGTAAAAATCAAGGTCTACTTCCTCACCTACACACACAACAGCAAAAGGTCACAATGATCACAGATAATTAGGAAAACAATACCACCAAAGGAATAAATTTCATCACTTTCACTATATCTGAAAGAACTGGGTATCAAGGACCACAAGATGGCTCAATGGGTAACGGTGCTTGTACACAAACACATGCACACTGAACAAAACTTTAATAATAATGATAATAATAATAATGGGAAACTACAAACTGAAAAGCAAAAATCTCAAAATAGTCACGCTAAAAATAAAAAGATCAGTGAATTACAAGGGACCACAGATAAACAATTAAATAAAATCAGGAAAGTAATATATAACTAAGGGAATTCAAGAGAGAAACTGTAAGAAAAGAACCAAACAGAAATTCTAACACTGAAGAACACAGTGACTGATAACCAAGCTACAATCCATAGACTCCGAGAGGATAGATACAGAGGAAGGGTCTAAGGTGGATACACGGATTTCCCTGGGAGAGAGAAATAGAACAATCTTTACAGGTAGACTGGGACAAATGGGAAGGGAACAGGAGATCAGATGAGGAGGTAAAGGGGAGACAGGGTAGAGAGGGAGAGAATGCAGGGAGACAGCTGGAATTGAGGGGCATTTGAGGGATGATATGGAAACCGAGTGCAGTGGAAACTTTCTAAAATATATGAAGGTGATCTTAATGAGATTGCCTAATAATGGGGGATAAGTCTCGAATGGCCATTGCTGTTACCAAACAAGGCTTCCAGTAGTGAGACTGGGCTGTGTTAAACTGAGTTGCTGACCAAGGGGGTTATATGGAACCCCCCCCCAAAAAAAAACCAAGGCTGTTGTTAAGACAATGAGTTGCTCTCCACAAACTGACAGCAGGACACCATTGATGAGGACAACACCCACAAAACTCATTGAACATGAAGAAGTTCAGCTGTTGCCTACATGGAGCATTTACCCCTACATTCTAGTGTCTTTGGTGCAGGAAAGTACTCTGTACACTACCAAAAGAGAAACATAAAGAATAAATGTAAATAAATGTAAACCCAGCCACAAAACCTTGCTACAATCTGTTCTGCTCGCAAAGTAAGCTAAGGCAATGGTGGCACAGAACTTGTGGGAGTAACCAATGTCTGATTTGATTTAAGGCCCACTCCATGAGATGAAAACCAATTCCAACACTGCTTAGGTGAGCAAGAATCAGAAACTAGATATCCCAGAGACCTAGGGTAAAACCAATCACTACCAGTCTTAAAAAAAAAAAAAAAATCACTAAAATGATTCTTAACGATACTCTGCTATACTCATAGATCAGTGCCTTATTCAGTCATCATCAGAGAAGCTTCCTCCGACAGGAGATGGGAACAGATAGAGACACACATCCATTTTAGAGAAAGTCTAAATGGGATGTCTCTATCAAATCTCTCTCCTCAGAACTCAGGGAACCCTGTGGAAGAGAAGTGTGTAAGAGCCAGAGAAGATGAAGGAGAACAAGGACTTTTGAATCAACTAAGCAAGGCACATAAGAACTCACAGAGACTAAAGCAGCAAGCACAGGACCCACATGGGTCTTCATCAGGTCCTCTGTCTAAATATTATAGCTTTTAACTTAGTATTTTTATGGGACTCTTGAGTGAGAATGAGTGGGTCTATGATTCTTGTGCCTGCTCTTAGGACTCTTTTCCTTCTGTTGGGTTGCCTTGTCCAACTTTGGTTTGATGGGTTTTGCTTCATCTTATATTTTATTTTTGTCATGTTTGGTTGTTATCTCTTAGAAGTCTGTTCTTTTCTAATGACAGAAAAGAAGAGGATCTGGGGTGAGAGGAAGGGAGGGAAGGGATGGGATGGGAGGGAAAAGGAGGGGAGGGGAAGGGAGATGAGGGGAGGGAAGGGAGTAGATAGGAGGGAAGAGGATGGGAGTCCTGGGGAGGGGGTAGAATAACTGTGAACAGGGGGAAGGGATATTATAATCAGGATATATTGTATAAGAAAACAATCTATTTTCAATAAAAGGAAAAAAATGAAAAAAAGAGAAATTCTAATGTTGAAGAACACAGTGACGAAAGTAAAAATTCAAACAAAAATGTCAATAGCTCATCAAGCAGGTGACACACTAGACTACAGATCTTTTGATACTGCCTAATATGGTGGGAAAATGAAGTGAAAAAAGCCTATAGGACTTGTGGAATACCATCAAGCAAACAAACATAAAGAACATGAAAAGTCCCAGAAGGGGCAAAGAAAGGGGAAGAAAGTTTAGTTAATGGTTAAAGAGATAATGACAGCAAACTTCCCCATTGTGCTCAGGCACATACAGATCCACAAAACGCCTGAAGACTCCAAAAACAATAAATATAAAGATTTCACCATTCACTAACATGCACCACCAAGTTTTCAAATGTCAAGGGATGCTGAAGCAGCTAGAGAAAAGCAGCTCACCATGTACACTGCACCCTGCATCTCCAATGAGAATACTCAGCAGAAACCTTGCAGGCTAGGAAGGCTGAGATAACCTTTTTCCTTGTGGAACTGGAGATGGAAACGGGGCCTTGGGCATAGCAGGTAAATGCTCCACCACGAGCCAGATCCCCAGAACTAGAAGATATATTTTAAAAATAGTCCACCAAGAAGGCTATATTAAAAAAAAGGGGGGGGGGGAACCCTTCAGAAATGAAAGAAAATGAAATGTTTTACCAGACAAGCAAAAATAACTAGATCTGCCTTCTAAGAAATGACAATCAGCATTTTTTCAACTTGAAGTGAAAGGATGCTAACAAGAAAATATATACTCCCTATTATAGTAACAACATATTAAAATCCAGATAGCATAAACTGTTAACAATGGTACATACATCATCTTAACTCTACTATAAACCTAAAGGACAAATGTGTTATTAGTAACTATAGTAACTTGAAAAGATAGACAACATATAAATGATGTGAAGTATGATATCAGTATTACTAAACATGCAAAGGTATAGCATGTGTGCAGCTGCATTTATCTGTTTAAAATAATCTTTGCACTATTAGAAATCAGAGGTAAGCATAATCACAAAAAAGAAACCTGTAACAGACACAGAAATCATGAGGAAAAAGGACAACAAAAGAATAAAGGAACCATAAAATAGAAAACAACGTGGCAGTAAGACACCCATGTCTAGCAATAATTATTATTACTAATCATCCAGATCATGTTTTTCTTGAAGATTAGGCATAGCTAGATCATAAGGGACATTAACAAAAACCCACACATAATTGGTACTTTCTGTTCCTGTGAAACTGTGTGTAATAAGCCCTGAAGAAACATTAAATACCATTAGTTGATAATGATCAAATTTGTTCTAGAAATAGGCTCACTGATATTTTCTAATAAAACTAAACTTACTACAAAATGTTTTATATACAACCCAACCTACCAATTAAATTTTACTCTTGGTCATCTATTCAAGAGAAAGGAAACTTACATTCATAGAATACCAGTCCATACCAGCTTCATTCACAGTAGTAAAAAACCGGAGGGAACCAAGATACCATCAATAAATGCATTTATTATAGAATATTGCTACAGTTTGGATCTTAAAACCTCCTTGAAAGGCCAATGTATTAAAGACTTCTTTCCCAATCAAGCAACCTGGGGCAGTGGTGGAAACGTTACAAAACAGAGCCTCATGAAAGGTTCGAAGTCACAGTTATGTGCCTTTAGGGTGGACTGTGCTTCCTCCTTCCTCACTTTCAATCCCCAGCTTACACAGGTAAGGAACATTCTCTGTCAATACTCCTACCACTCTGCCTCATCAAGGTCTTAAAATGAACAATGAAACCACAAAACCTGAGGCAAGGCATGAGGAACTGGCTACAAAGATCAAGTATATATGACACAAGCATGAGGACCTGAGTTTGGACATCCCTTGTGACATCTACTCAAATAAAAAAGAACAAATTGAAAAATGTTAACTATTTAGAGCAGTGGTTTTCAACCTTCCTAATGCTGTGACCCTTAATGCAGTCCCTCACACTGTGGTGACCCCAACTATAAAACAGTGTTGCTACTTCATAACTGTAATTTTGCTACTGTCATGAACAGATAATGTAAATATCTGATATGTAGGGTATCTGATATGCGACCCGTGAAAGGGTCGTTTGACACCCAAAAGTCAAAAGTGAAGAACTACCGATTTAGATCAATTTCGAGGGAATTATGTTAAGTCAAAAAGCTAATTCTCAAAAGTTGTATCCATGATTCCATTTATATGTTTTTTTAAAATAACAAAATTTTAGAAGTGGGATGAGGACTGAGTTGAGTATGACAATGAGAACTGTGTGGTGATAATTTGAATATGATAAACACAAGTCTTTCCATCTGACAAAACCCCATATGCCTAAATACATTAAACACTCAAAGTCCAATTGAAAGTGAGGAAGTTCAAGTCAAAGCAGCAGAGTTTAGCAATGTGCATATCTCATCTGGTTTTGCAGGACTCTGTCACCAGAGAAAACCAGGCAAAGGATATACAACACAGGGCCGCTCTGAGTTACCATAGAACTTCACTGAATTTATAACTATCTCAAGAGAACGTTTTTTGTTAAAAAAGGTTAGTCTAGTAAGTCAGTCATCTTGGAGTCTCAATTTCCTTAAGAACACTATCCAAATAGGAAGGCTGGCATAAGTATAAATTACTTACATTTGGGACATCAATCGCTACCTCTCTCATAGCACTAGGTCTGATGTCATTCATCCCTTGTAAGAAATCATTCAGGGTAATTTTCACCATGCCAGCCACCTTGCTATCAGGGAGATTAGGCTGTTTCCTCAGGACTCTTCGCAAGGCATACAGACCTGCAAAGAGGAAAATAATACAAAACTGATCACATATTCCATAAATACCAACTGGGTAACAATACTACTAACCCCAAAATCTGTGGGTATTACAGCATTTACAGTATTTTGTACTTACAGGAATGTATGAAATGGAGAGTGGGATTAATGGTGAAGGGGACAGTAATATATGGAAGATTAAAGCACAACTCAAGTACTTAAGCAGTGGAAAGATGACAAACTGATAAAACAATTTACAAACAACATTTAAAAAGAAAATCAGCCGGGCGGTGGTGGCGCACGCCTTTAATCCCCAGCACTCGGGAGGCAGAGCCAGGCGGATCTCTGTGAGTTCGAGGCCAGCCTGGGCTACCAAGTGAGTTCCAGGAAAGGCGCAAAGCTACACAGAGAAACCCTGTCTCGAAAAACCAAAAAAAAAAAAAAAAAAAAAAAAAGAAAATCAAAGTTTATCAAAATAGCATTGATAGGGTATCATTAAAATAAGTACAATAGTAATATGCTTTTTGCTATTGCCCTTTTCCTGATAGCACTAAAACCAAGCCACAAGTTTAGAAAGACTAGGAGAAGATCCGAAAGAAGACAGAACACAAGAGAGAAGATGATTTGAGAGTTAGATGCACACATGAGGTCTGTAATAAAAGATACTTTTACTAGGGCACTGAGGGAGACTGGAGATGGAAGAATGGAGGCAAAAGGCTTGCTCAAGGAAGTTTATGGTTTGGAGAACTAGAAAGAACTGTTTGTTTTTCACAGGAGTAGTATCACAGTAATAATGCACTTAAAAAAAAAGACCCTTAAGAAAATAAAATTTAGAGAGATGTAAAATAGCTTAAATGACAGCTCTAACCAGAATAGTCAAATATGCTAAAATCGTTGGTTTTGACATTTGTTTACAGTTCAAACACTGGCAAGACTGAATGTCCAACTACCTCCTTCAAATACCAGGTATGAAGCTTCAAGTGCATAGAGCTGTAGCAGAGTCTAGAGCCCAAATTCCTAATTGTTGACAGGAACTCCATATCAAGTCATATAACTGAATGTGGGGTTAACCAAAAAGAATCTGGCAATGGTTAAGTCATGCAATGGTTAATTCAAAATTCAATGCACAATCAATTGGTTAAGTCATGCAATGGTTAATTCAAAATTCAATGCACAATCAATTGGTGCAGTGTTTCTACGACTACACTGTAGCCTTAGTTCTGAGCACAGAATGGAAGCACTTTATACTTCCTAAATTTGATCCCCAGCACCCACGTAAAAAAGGTGTATCATGGCATGTCCTATATTCCTAGTACTGGACCAGGAGGATCCCTATGGCTTGCTGTCCAGGCAGTCTTGGGAATCAGTGAGCTCCAGGTTTGCTGAGAGATTATCTAAAATAAGGTGGAAAGGGATAGAAGACAACTAAAATCTACCTCTGGCCTTCACACACACACAAACATGTACATACATACCCAATTATGTACCTCTGGCCTTCACACATACACAAACATGCACATATATACATATACAAATAACAGTACATACAAACATTTAAAAAATAGACTTTTCAGCTATCTAAAAACTGTAAGCATTTGTTTAGGCTTATCTTTCAAATTTGTTTTACTGACTTCTAAAATGCTGAAAGGTAATTGACATCTCATGCAACCTGATTCATAAGTAATCTTACTCCTTAAAACTTGAAAGATCATTATAAGAAAATGAAATTATAGGTCAATCACTCTCATGAACACTAGGCAAATAATCTAAACAAAACATCGGCCTGAATTTTAAGATATATTTAAAAAAAAGCAGTATCCATATCCAGAAAGATTCATCTAACATGTGAAAATGCATCAATATCATTCTTCAAATTAACATATAAAGATGACATAGAACTATGTAAACAGACACAGAAGAACTGTAACGAAAACAAATTTTTAAAAACAAGACTGCATGGGAACTTCCTTTGTAAGTTTATCTAGAAATACATAGCAATAATATTGCCAATAACAAATTACTGGAAACATTCTCCCCTTAAAATCAGTAAGATCACTAGTACCAACTATTTCTTAATTACTACTTTGGAGGTTTTAGCATCTAGTACAGTAAGTCAAGAGAAAGAAATAATGTTGTAGAGATAAAGGAATGAAATAAACCATATTACCTATTTTATATAGAGAGAAAACTATAACACAATATTATACATAGAAAACAAAGGAATTTACATACAACTGAAACAAGTAAATGCTCCTGGATTTGGTCTCCAGCACGATAAAAAGAGAGAGAGTGAATAAAACATTCTCTTTTTCAAAACTTTTGTGGGGTTATAGAGAGACTAACAAATTAAATTATAAAAGTCTATGGATCTTTCCAAACCCAGAAAAAAGAGGTAGGCAGGCAGATAAGATATACACATGCATACATCTAAATATTTTGTGTAAGGATAACAGATTGATAAACACAGAATCCAGAAGAGATTTAAACTGTTACAGCGCAACAGGATGGATCATCATTTCAGTGAATTTTGTTGGCTGGTTAAATATCCAAATCAAAGAAGTGAACCAATTTCAGGTAGTGATGTGAAAGCAAAAAAAAAAAAAAAAAAAAAAAGGTATCCAGAAGTCCTGGTAAGACAAAATAGTCATGACACTTGACCACCATTACTATTTTTATTCAGAGATGCTGGGGATGGACCCAGGTCTTCATACATGCTAGCCAAGTGCTCTACCACCAAGCTACACTCACTGACCACAATTTCTTAAATAAGACACGACTGATAAACTGAATGTATTATATTAATATATATATATATATAAAATAAATGTACCTAATTTCTAATTTCTGATCCTCCAAAGACATCATGAACAGTAAATAAATACTTAAGTCATAAAATAGACCTGACTGCCCTGTAGGAAATAAAACACACATCCAACTAGGCCTCACATGAAGCTACATATCAAGAATCCCTACAAAGCAACAATATTTAAAGGAACACTGAAAAAACTGAGAATTTAAATAGACACAGTATGAAGGAAACTATCTACATAGTAAATTATCATTATCATTCATAACATCTGTATAATGGAATACAGAAATAAAAATGAACTGCTACTCAGAGTAAAATACTGGAACTCTTGAATCACACACTATGGGTCAAAGATGACAGCAGCAAACAGAAAAACTCATCTCAGTGTTAAAAGCCAATAGTGATTGTCTCTTGAGCTGATATTATGATATGACCCAGAGAGAGTGGTCCAGACAGTTACTATTTTCCTCCATACTGGTCTAAGCACTGCTAAGTTCACTTCAGAAAATTCATTCATCTATGCTATGGTTTATGCACTTTCATGCCCATGTGGAATACTTCAGTAAGTTCATTTAAAAACTGAATGTGTAAAAGTAAGATCAGGGGCAAATGACTAACAAAGCTATACAAAACAAGTGGTTTTAAATAACACTAAGATGGTACTTTAAGAAATTATAAACTGAAGTCAAAATACAAGTATTTTATTTAAACTCTAATAACTGGCTCTTATTCCTTAATATTTTATTACTAAAGCATGAAAAGATTATTGCGTATCTAATCCCACCTCCCACCATAAACCAGGAATCAAGGTTCTTTGTAATGGTTCCCTTATGTGCATGCTTATGAATAAAGTGTATGGAAAATATGTTGGCAACTCTCTTTCAATTGAGGACCAAATTAAAATACTGTGCTAAATTAAAAAGGTGACTTTAATCAAAGTATTTAAAACCATGACGACTTAGGAAAAAATCCATAAATAAAAAAAAAGCTTTAGGAATTATCTACACAGAAACTCCGATCACTATAGGGCATTTCTGTAAAGCTGTCTAATGTATAAATATACTATTAGACATAATATGGTTTGCACAACTGAGTCCTTATAAAATTATTAATTTCTGAAACATATTATACAAATGGATACATTATGGAAGGTGGGATGAGTAAAAGAGGAAACTCCACAACTTTAAGAGGGGGAGTAAGGCTATTATTTTGGAAATATGTTTTTAAAAAATAATTTTCAATAAGGGTGGCAATCACTACCATTGTTCTATATATATACTGCCTGCAAGTTCAGTCACAATTTATATTAAAGTAAAGCAATTAAAGGCCAAGGTAAAGTGGATGGGTAAAGGTGCCTGATGACAAGCCTAACAGAGCTCCATCCCCAGTACCCACACGACTAAAGGAGAAAATGGACTCCTTCAAGTTGTTTTCCAATCTCCACAAAAGTGCTGCGAAACACGTGTGGGTGCAGACACACTAAGCAAATAATTTTTTTAAAAGTGATTATTAAAGTATTATCGTATCATGAAAATACTGAGAAGTTATACTCATGGACTACAGGCTGTCTTCAATACTAACACAGTCTGGGAGGCCAGCTCTTAAAACTATTCCAGGGTTGTATACAGAATGCCTCAGAGTAGCAGGACTTCAGGAAAAATTTCTTATGTATCTGGAGGCTAGACTTTTTTTTTTATGTGAGGGGGAAAAAAGGAAACACGCACACTTTCTGATGGTAACTTTCTCTTTTACTTCATCTCAAAAAATCCTCTAACAATCTATCTCCACACAGCTACATTCTTTACATACATCTATATATCTCTCTTTACATATATACATCTCTCTCCTGCACAGTCATATATTTCTACATAGTTACATCTCTTTTTTACATAGCTCACATCTCTTTTCTATATACATTTCTTCTCTCTACTCTGCTACATTCCTTTACACACTACTACATCATCCACTCACTCTTTACTCATTCATTTTCTCACTCACTCATTCTCTACACATACATCTCTACATCTCTTTTCTATACAGCTTCATCTTCCTTACACACACACACACACACACACACACACACACACACACACACACACTTCTGCCTCACAGCCCTACTTCTGTCTATCACAGCCAAACTCAGACAAGTGTATGTTACATTTTCAGGGTCCGACCCATTCTCCTAACACATAAGTCATACAGTTTTTTCTCA